ATGCATGAAGTATGCTATGATGAGCTAGGAATCTGGGAACATTGTATTCTCTAGAAGTTGAGAACCTTCTGAGTGAATTAGGTTTGATCTAGACTCTAATACAACGTATGTTTCAGAAGTTGTGAACTTCCTGAAAATATGGTTAAATCAAGCTTTGATACCTACACTGTTCAGTAATTGTGAACTGTCTGAAATTAAGGTAATTGTGTTTTGACAACACCTATTGTTCAAAAGTTGTGAAATTTCTAAAGGTATGGTGATCAGACTCCGACGCTTCAGAAGTTTTGAGCTTTCTGAAAGCATGACAAAGTTGATCTGATGTTAAGCATTTTTCGGGAGTTGTGAACTATCTGAAATAATGTCAATGTGTGCTTTGGAAACGTTTGCCCTGATACCACGAAGCTTTTCAAAAGTTGTAAATTATATGAAAGTTTTGTAACAAGAACCTGTTAAACTAGACTCTGATACTTCAGAAGTTATGAACTTTCTGGAAATGTAGTAAGTGTGCTTTCAACCAGGAATTATTTAGAGGTTGTGGACCTTCTGAAGACATGGTCAGAAGACATGATCTAAGATATGGTCTAAGACATGGTCAGAAGACATGATCTAAGACATGGTCAGAAAACATGGTTTGAGACATGTTCAAAGACATGGTAATTTAGGCGACGGTTCATGTGTTGAACCTTCTGGTGACATGATGATTTGCACCTTTTGGTGGCATGATTCAAGTTTTTGAAAGAACCAGTGAATTAGTATTGATGTTTGATCTGAGTCATCAAGAAAGTTACTAAACAGGTTCTGATACTTAATAGTGTTCTGATAGTAAACCAAGTTCTGAGATAAAGACCAAAGATTTCTAGTCAGACTCTGATGAGACATCAATAGGGAAGTATTCCTTCTCAATGTTACCTTTTGTATTGAAAAATTCATTTTGTAAGTCTTGGGCTCAGGGGGGAGATCTGAACAAGCATAAATGATATTTTTGGTATTGACAAATTATGGGGGAGCTAGTTAGGTTTTCTAAATTTGTGTTCTTTGGTGATTACCCTGTATGATTTTATCTATCAAAATACATGATTTTGTCATCATCAAAAAAGGGAAGATTGTAAGAACAAGATTGGTTCTGCATTTGGCCTTAAGTTTTGATGATAACTTTACATGGTATCTTAGAGAATAATTGTGTACTTTAATGTTTTCTGTCTAGTGTGTAGCTTTTGATAAATAGCTTCTGACTCTGGTAAGAAGGCGTATGAGGTCATCATGTTCTGAACTCAATACTCTGGAAGAATACCTTTGGTGTGTTACAAGTTAAGTTAAGATTCTGGAATGCTTCTCATGCAACAGTTCTAAGGAACGTTAATACAAGAGCTTCTGATAATGACTTTGTAAGAAAGCTTTACAGGCCTTCTAAAGCTTTGCTTCTGTTGCCCCAAGCTCTGAATATGCCGAAGACAGGGTTTTACTGAACAAGTTCTGAAGATCTAAGAACATTACTTCTGAAGACCAAGTGCTGAAGACTCTAAAGACAAGGTTCTACTGAAAAAGTTCTGAAGACTTTAAAGACTTAGGCTAAGAAGATTCAAGTTCTGATCCTTCTACAACATACTTCATCAACATACATCATAAGTCTCTGAAGGCATAAAAGATAAAGATCAAGATTGACTTGCGTGAGATGGTGAGTATAAAAGTACAAAATACATTGTGACCTCTACTCTTCTAGGGTGGCGTAAGGACAATCCTTTTTTTACTTTATCTAACATTCCCACCATGATCGTTGGGGACAAAACAACTAGTTTTATGTTTCCGATTATACCCTCCAACAGATCTCTTTTTCATCTATAAAAGAAGGACCTGAAAGAATTGAAAGATAACACTTACTGTTCTACAAAACTATGCTAAAGCGATGCACAAACTCTTTTGAGATATTCTTTGTATATTTTTGTATTTTTAGCAAGGAGCTTTTGTTTGTATCTTGCTATCAACACTTCTGTATTGTTGTACTTAAACATTGTTTAATCTTCTTGTTAGAAGCATCTTTGTATACACATATTTGTAAATCAACGGTTGTTAATAGGTTCCTTGAGAGACTCAGTGAGTCATGATTCTCAAGAAGACTTTGGATGCGGTCATCGTGGATTGACAATAAGGATAGATGAACTTGTTGTGGTTGTCAACATGATTGATCAGACTTATCGTAGTTGTTTGTAATCGGTTGATTATAGTTGATTAAGTCCTTGTGGATAAGGAAAATCACCTTGTGGGATGGACTGAAGTAACTTAGTTAACAGTAAACCAGGATAAAGTAATTGTGTTTATTTATTTTAACTCACTTGTTAGCTTTGTGTTTGAGTTGCAAAAAGATTATCTTTGGTGTAACCCAATTCAAACCTCCATTTCTGGTGTTTCTCGCACCTTCAACTACAAATGAGGAGATGAACCAGGCATAGAGAAAATCACCAGAAACTTAAGAACAATGAACAAAATGCGAGAACAAAAGGAGATAAAATGACAAACATATCAAACAAGAGTGTCACCTAAATTTAGAGAAGGAAAAGTGAACGAAGAAACAAAAAGACTAATCATAGTAAAAGACGATCACTATGTAGGCAAGAAAGGAGACATGTCTATAGTCCAAAACTAAGGGAAGTTCAGAAGATAAAACCAATGATTATGATTAGTCTCGAGATCACAACGACACTGAAGGACACTTGAGTTCTCTAAGTGTCACAAATCCCTACCCTAGGGACTTAGAGCTTCCTATAAGGTTGACTTTGCAAAACATTTTCGTGATAAGACACATATTTAAGTCAAAATCCTACTCCCACTCACCTAACTTTTATGTTTCTTCTTTCCTAAGTTGAAAACCTACTCCCACTCATTAGACTTTTTCGCTTCCCATTTCCTAAGTCAAAGACCTACCCAAGAAACTCAAGATAAGGATGAAGAGCGGTCCAAATGATATAATCCTTCCTCACTAATGAAAACAAGGATTTGGGAAACAATTGTTCCAGGTTGGCCAAATGCACAATAGAGCAATTCCAATCATATGGAGCCCAACCCGGGTCTCATCATAGGAAGCTAGTCCATAGGTGGAACCTCGTCAAGGATTCAGCACCTGGTCCCAACTACTACCGTTAGATCTAATCAGATGGTTCTCCGTGCAACACGTTGTATTTATCATAGTCTATTTTAAATGTCTATCATATATCGCTATGTGCTAATAGATATTATCTCACTCTCACTCTTACAAATTACATCTGTCTGATTTCACTATTTAGACGTTGGAATATTAATTTTGTAAATTCTCCTTACTCCACCGCATCAGAGACTCTTACCATCTTATCCGAAGAATTAACTTTATCCAAATTCCTTATATATATCTTGTTCCATCAGAAAATAATAATAATAATTTATTATTATTATTATTATTATTATTATTATTATTATTATTATTATTATTATTATTATTATTATTATTATTATTATTATTATTATTATTATTATTATTTAAATGTATTTCATTGTATTTATTATTTTTCAAGACGAGGAAGAACATTTGTTAAAGAAAGAAGTGCCTTATTTAAATATTCAAAAATCAAATTCATGTTTAAAATACAATTCAATATATGTGATATTGAAATTTAGGAGAAAAAATATCAAAGTGGAAAATCATATTATTTCTACATACCCTGTTGTTATTGAATTTTGTGTCTTAGGAATATATTTAAAAGAGAAACACATGATGGAAAACTTAAAGAATCAATAGAGAGAGAAGAACCTAACGAATGTAATGTGTGTCACTTTCTCCTTCCTTTTCCTATTTTTCTAACATTATTTTTTTCTTTCATATTGGACTGCTGTAGCATCATCACCACCTCACTCACTCTATCAAACCACACTTGTCCCTCCTCTCTCTCACTATTAAAATAATACTACTATGCTAATAGTGCGCTTAATAATTATTATAATAATATTCTACACAAAACTTAGCATATACTAATTTAATCATATGTTTTCCAGCAAATTGTGGTTGTCTCCAATGTTAGATCTCTCTTCACTTCACTTATTCACTCTCTGCAACTTCACATGTTTTTATTATTTTTGAAACTTTGAACAATCAACAAGAACCTTAATTATTTGTTCAACACCAACGTCTTTTTTCTCTATGTTTTGATTACTTATTTTGTAACGTTTTTTTACTCTATTTACTATCATCTTTGACTTGGCTTCTTCCTTTGAAACTCCCTTTATCTTTTTTCTTTCTTTTTATTATTATATATATAGCTTTGCCTTGTGGGAGTTTCTCTTCTCTATTCTTCATTGCAGCCTTTTTCTTTGTGTTTTTGAATACATATATTTCCACAAAAAAAAAAAAACTTTGTTTTTTCATCTAAATCAAGTTCTATTATGTTTTATTCGTATGAATTCTGATTAACCTAACTCAGGATGTGATGGCTTTTGGTTTCTGTGCTTGGAGTTTCTTCATCTGGTTAGGTAGCTTCCTTTTCTTATATAGCTGTGAGAATGAATCATTTCATATAGATTATATATCAATGATTGTATAACTGTCTTACATATGTGACAAGATTAATTTGAGTTTGGTTATTGATTTATTACATAGAATTTCCACCATGCAAGAAAAGAAAAACAAAACTCTATTTCTGATTTGAAATAGTAATTATTATCACTTATTAGCATATTCAAATCCTGAATATTGTCTCAGCCTCGCGAAAGGCAGACACTGCTTACACCTATTCTCCTCATAGCCTATCTGATGCGAGGCAGATTTAGTTGTAACTTATTAACCTATGAAGGAGTTTTTAGGTTGTTTTTGTTCCATCTCATATCAAAGAAGAAATTATGTTGATGTTGATGCTGATTTTGTCTGAATTTTCTTTCTGATATCACAGGCAATTGATAATGAGGTGTTAAGAGTATTTTGGAGAGTTAAGAAACAGAAAAGGAAGGGAAAAAAAGCATTTTCTTGTGAATGGTCTATTATGACTAATAAAAAAGCATTACCAGTTCCAAATTTTGGTAGTGACTTTTGCATTAGTTACCATAATTCTTTGTTACAGAAGAGGAGAATTATGGAAGTGTTACCACCCTCCGATGGCAACGGATCTTCAACCGAAGAAGAGCCTTTACCTCAGGATGCAGATTATAATCTTAGTCTCAGCGACGAGCTAGAGACATTGATCTTGGCGAGATTTCCAAGATCACAACACTGGAAACTATGTTTTCTAAACAAAAGATTCTTGAGTCTTATGAAAAGTGGAGAGATATACAAAATAAGGAAAGAGTTAGGACTCAAAGAACCATCTGTTTTCATGTTAGCTAGCGGCGAAAGCAATTGGTGGGGTATGGATTGGCCTTTCATCTCAAGCAGGAAGTTACCAAGGATTCAATCAGATTACAGCTTTGAGTTTGGTGATAAGGAATCCTTTTGTGCAGGGTCGCAGTTATTGGTTTCGGGCAAAGAAATCGATGGTGCTGTTATTTGGAGATATGATTCAGAAACTAATGAATGGTTTAAAGGTCCATTCATGATTAATCCAAGGTGTCTTTTTGCTTCGGCTAGTTCTGGTAATTTCGCTTTCATCGCAGGAGGTTTAGAAACAAACAGTTATAGCGAAATATTGGATACTGCTGAGAAATATGATTCCAAAACCAAAATTTGGAAGCCTTTGCCAAAGATGAATCAGAAGAGAAAATTCTGTTCTGGTTGTTTCATGGACAAGAGATTCTATGTTATTGGTGGACAAGATGAGAATCGAAAGGATCTAACTTGTGGCGAGTTTTTCGACGAAAAGACAGACACGTGGAACTTGATTCCTGATATGTTGAAAGATATTCCCGTTTTGGATTCGCAGTCTCCACCTCTTATAGCTGTTGTTAATAATGAGCTTTACACACTTGATGCTTCTTCTAATGAGTTGAAAGTTTATGTCAAAAGGATCAATAAGTGGAAGAAATTAGGTGTTGTTCCTGTGAGAGCCGATGAACAAGGTGGTTGGGGCGTCGCTTTTAAGTCGCTCGGTGATGAGTTGCTTGTTATTGGCGCGCCTGCAGTCTCACATAATGAACGCGTCTTGGCAATTTATACTTGTTGTCCTGATCCTGATGGTGAGAAATTGAAGTGGAAGCAAATTGAATGTGGGAGTGTTCAGCTTAATCATTTCATTAGAAATTGTGCTGTGATGATGGGGAGTACTTGAAGCATTATCAGAGTTTCGTGTCTGTATTTGTGTCAGAGTTCATAGAGGGTGAAAGATGAAGTTATTCTCAAAATAAAACTTGGAGGGTTTATTTAGTTTAATGTTGAGGTGTATTTAGATGAAAATTATGTGTTTCTTTTTATTTGATCTTTGTTTGTAATGTTTCATTTGGGGGTTTGTCTTTCTGACATAACTTGTTAGGAAGAATATGTTTGTGAAGAAAATCAGATAATGATGTTCTCAAATGCTAATTTTTCATCTATTATTCTGATTGTCTTGATTTGGTTGTTTATATCATGCTTTAAAATTATGTTATGGAATAATACCTAGTTTATGTCGTGCTTTAAAATTATGTTATGGAATAACACCTAATTTGATCATTTGATTTAGTAGTATTATATCAAAATGTTTTTATCTAGTTTGTTCCCATTTGTTTTATCATGTTAGTGAATCGAATTAAACTGAATTAAAAATAATTGAACGGTTATCTTTGGTTCAATTCTTTAACAAATGATTTAGTTTAAAAAATTATCTTCTAATGAATCCATATGATTTAGAATTTCTAAACGGTATATTAAATTAATAATTTTGACTTAGTTTAATTATAAATAAATTGAAACGATTTCGTTCGGTTCGAATAAACTTTAACTATAATTTGATTTAGTTCGGTTTGATATTCTCATGACACCATCCAGAAACAACCCTATATGTGAGAGCTAATGTATCCATCAAGAAGAAAGAAACTTAAACTTTATATGCATTCTATATTTTTGTATTTTATTACACATTTCTTTAAAAGTTTGATTGGTTTGCACACATGCATTCAAATGCTCTTCAAATTTGGATAAATCCAATTGAAATGTGAACATTTTAATTTTAAAAATTGTTAATGTATTGATGATAAAAAGTTTTGATTACACTTTTTTAAGATAAATTATTGATTTGTTGCATAAACTTAATTGAATAGGCCCAATTTAAAGTGAGAACATAATAGACGAGAATTTAATTTGACATTCTATCAATTGAATCTACACTCTTTAATTTTTTATTTTAAATTGATCATGAATGGATGACAAGAATGAACCCCTTTTCTAAAAAAAAAAAATTTTTTTTTACTATCGAAAATATTGAAATTTTAAATTATTTACTGAAAATTTTTAAATTTTCTGTATTATATTAGAAATTTCGAAATTTTTTGGTAGTACAAAAAAAAAATTAAAAAATGAGCTATTGTATTTTTTGAAAAATTCAATAATTTTTTCAAAATTTTCAGTATACTTTTGAAATTTTAGATGAGAACTCATGAAAACTTTGAAAATTTCGATAATTTTCTGAAATTTTTGATACCCCAAATTTTTGGTAAACCGCAATATTTTTTAAAATTTAATAATTTTAAATAATAATGATAAAAATATATAAAATGACTAATTTTGGCTTTTAATATGGACGCCCATAAGTTAAACTATAACTATATTAATTTTCTTATATGATATATTTTTTAATGATAAATAAAATATTAATAAAAATGTGAAAACTACTAAAATACAAAAGAAGAGGAGATTAATTAGCACAGGAAGATTTAAACCGACCATAACAATAAAAAACAAAAGAATACAACAAAAAACCAAAAAGTAGAACAGAGATGCATCAAAACAACTAATGTGATTTTGACTTTTAATTTCACTAATGTGATTTTGACTTTTAATATGGAGGCCCGTGGTTTAAAAGTTTCTCTATAATTTATAATATATTAATTTTCTTAATTTCACTAATGTGAGACTTTTTTTAATAGCAAATAAAATATTAATAAAGAGGTGAAAACTACCAAAATACAAAATATAGGGATTACTTAACACAAAAGTTTTATACCGACCTTAACAATAAAAAAACAAAAGGATACAACAAGAAAATCAATAAGCAGAATAAAGATGCACCAAAACAATTAAACATCCAGATGAATCTCACAAAACAAGCCAAGCAACAAGAGCCTCACCTATAGGGTTTGGGCTAGATTTCAAACTTAAAAAACGGCCATCAACAAATTAGAGGCCACCAAGAGAGAACTAAGAAACCACAACACTGACAATCTTATAACCAAGATAGACATTCGATTAACTATAGGTTAAGGTAGGCGATAGAGTTTTGAAGTTTGTCAAAGAAAGTGCATGAGTCCACCTATATTTTATCAAGAAATCATTTTTAAGAAAAAAATATTCTCCTCTATTTTTTTCTTAGTTGTTAGAACACTATTAAAGATGTCATTATTAAGAATCCTTCAAATAGACCAAACAACAACATGGAAAATCATAGTAAAACCACCCGTTAACTTAGTCATACCACCTAAAGAGAGGAAAACTTAAACAAAAATTTATGATCACTAGGAATAACCACCTACCATCCCGACCACTAGAATATCATATACCAAACTGCCAAAACTAACTCACAAGTGACGCAAAGATGAGAAACCAACTCAACCAACCCCCACGCATGGGACAAGAAATCCAATTAGCATAAAAAACCACCCCTTTTTTGAATAGGTTCTTCCTATAAACAAGTCTATCTTGCGAAATTGCCAAGAAACATTTGAAGGGCCCAACTGGTCCAAGTTAAAGGGATGGTCGAGTTCTCAACTAGATCAGAGGAAAAAGAGGGGATAAAAAGATTTAATTGAACATATAAGTAGATGCAACAGAGAATAGACCATCTCTTGTGTACTTCCAGTTCCATTTATCTATATCTTGAGAATAGAACCACAAAGCATAGAGAGAAGATTACCAACCACATGTAACTCATGGAGAAAGAAGGGTTTCCTCCATCTAAGATACCACAAAAGGTCCCATTTTTCATTCGACCAATATCTCCTACCAATCCACCTGAGATCCCACCAATCTCTTTGGGAAACTTGATACTAAGAGGAATGGCTCTTACCAAGGTTCTTCCCAAAAAGAAGTCTACAAGATCAACCCCACTTTCTTATGAATAACATCATCAAACTTATTAGAAGGTTCATCTTCTTTGGACTGAAGAAGAGACACACCTCTCCACCAAGAAGAAGCAGATCAGAACTCGAAGTTCTCCCCCCTTCCAAAGGGAGGAAACAGTAGAGATACCATATATATATATATATATATATATATATATATATATATATATATATATATATATATATATATATATATATATATATATATATATATATATATATATATATATATATATATATATATATATATATATATAAAATACTAGTTACGTTAAGCAGATGAAACCAATCTCCATCTCCGTTTAGCCAAAATGACTAGATTAACCTGCTAGATGTCCCTAACTCATAACCCCCTTGCTTTTAGTTGTGCAAACAATATCCCACTTAAGCCAAAAGATCTTATATTATCCATTCACTTCTCTCTAAAATAATCTTCTTTGAATCTTAATAAGCTTCTTCCAAACGGTCACATACATCTTCAAGAAGGTCAGGAATAACATATTGATTGCATTAAGCACATACTTAAGAAGAACCACTTGGTCACCAAAACTAACATATATGTGCTTTTAATAGTGGAGCCTCTTTGTCAAGAACATAACCAAAGGATCCCAAGAAGATTCAAGTCTGGGATCAACCCCCACCAACATTTCTAGGTACTTAAACGAAAGGGTTTCAATCCTATAGTGGTGGAAAGCACCCACAAAGGCCAAAAGATATGATCCACGTTAACCCCTTCCATATTACTCTTGAAAAAATTTAAACCGAAGACTTGAAGCCAACTCAAACCCCTTTAGGGTCGCCTTAAACTCCATAGGTTCTCAAAAGTAGAGACTTTCAAAAAAGGGTGTCATCTGCATGTTAAAGGTGGGAGACACCAAATCAAACGTCCCTACCTTAAAACTAGACTAAAATCCATGCTTAACAACCATAAAAAAAAAGCCTCTAAGAAAAAATAAGAAAATGGAAATGAGCTAGAAAACCCCCTTTCTTCGAACTCCTTTGGATGTTGATCTCTTGAGTTGTACACCTATTTATAATCACCACAATATTCCTAGAAAATACACAAGCTCTCATCTAGAACCTCTATTTATCATTAAACCCACACCTGATAATCATATAATATATAAAACTCTAACTAAATGAGTCATATACTTTCTTAAAGTCCACATTAAAAATAAGAAAAGGCATCTTAGACATCTTAGCCAAATCTATCACTTTATTAACAAACAGCACTTCGTACATCAACATTTTTCCTTTAAGGAATTAATTTTGATTGATTAGGAAAAATAAGTGTAGTACCCCAAAAATTTCTCTCCCATTTTACTCAAGATATACTCATTGAGGTCCTCAATTGCTCAAGATTGACCAAAGAAGTGATCAGACAAATTCTTCTCCTAAGCTATGAAGCTTCAACTAGGGTTTCACTTTTCACAAAGATGCTTGGGTTTCAAAGGCTCCAAATGATTTCCATGGTCCCTAATATGTATTCAAGAATGTCCATGCCAAATTTCATGCCTTACAGTACAAGTTTGCTCAGTCAACTGCTCAAGTGTTTGAAAATCAACTTTACTAGGTCAAAAGTCAACTGTGGCCAATATACAGTCAAGCTTCAATATTTTTTGTCAACATCAAAATTTTGAAGTGATAATCATCATTTGATCAAGGGTTGATCATGAGTCGTCAAGAAATGCTCTTAATTTATCAAATGTCAAGAATTGCTAAATTAGGGTTTTTATAGGAGAAGTCAACTAAACTTTGACCGGGCATAACTTTCACATACTTCATCCATTTTTACCCAACAAAAGATCATTTTAAAGAGAATCCAATTCCCTACAACTTCTCTTGTATCTTCAAGTTCAAGAAATGCATCATTTGGAAGATACAAGCTTACACATTACAGTTCATTTTCAGAAAGTCAACAAAAAACACTTTTTTCTAAGACCATTTACATCAAGATAAAATCTTCAAATGAAAAATTGATAAACATAGATATTGAAGAGGACATCTTGGGATTTCC